GTGCTTGGGCGCGAGCACCCCGACACGCTCATCAGCGTCAGCAACCTTGGGTTGGTGCTGGAGAGCCAGGGCAAGTACGAGGAGGCAGAAGCGATGCATCGACGGGCGCTGGAAGGGTACGAGAAGGTGCTTGGGCGCGAGCACCCCGACACGCTTACTAGCGTGTACTGCCTTGCTCACCTACTTGCGACACTCTGTGACTATAAGGAATCTCTTGATCTATATAGCAGAGCGTGTGACGGGTATAGCGTTGTTCTTGGAGAGCACCACCCCACTACCCGAGCATGTCGCCAACACCGTAGCGAAGTGCTTTTGTCACATGAGCAGTCTCGACTAGCAAGTTCTAGACGGGGAGGGAGAAGCATAGGAGAAGCTGAGCGGGTAGTATTTAGCTAGATGCACAGCTTATATCACCTCATTAGTGTATCTAGCAGCATAACAAATTTATTTTAGAGTTGCAGCGCTGGGAATAATAGTAGCTCGAAATATCACTCTCAGCGCCACAACCTCCAGCCACAATGCGCAGTAAGGGTTGCAGATATCTCAGCACGCTACTGTAGCTGAAAGCTCGCTTAAGACGCACGGCCGGGCAGCTGCGTTGTGACGATTCTACCTTTCGCGCGGAGAAATTGCCGGACTGCACACTCCATGCCTTAAATTGACTTTCTAGGGCGGCAGTCTTCATCTTCGCCTTCTCAACTCGCTCTCTGACCCGCCGAGCTCTTAGCGAATGTACGTAACCGCAAACGAGCAGGGAGGTTCTTAGAGAGGGTTAGTCGACAGCACTAACAAAAAGAGCGACAGCACAGTTAGCAACGCGTTCTCTAATGTCGGATAGAGATGCAGTAGGAGGACTAGTGCTAGAGTATACATGCACATTGAACCGGCCAATTTACATATATCGTGTGAGCATGCCGGGCGTCCAGAAGAAAAAGTGTCCCGTTACACCGGGCGTCCCGGCACGCGAGGATTGACATTATATATGATCTTCCTCACGCCCTATAAAGCGCGATAGTTGGATGCTAATATAGCTCTAACTTGCTAGAACGTGAAGATAGTAGAAGTTTTTATTAATGTTTAACTAGTTATTTCTACTTCTTGGCTATGTCACAATATTTATCTCCCGATGTCTGCATTTTGCCAATTCTGCTCTTCTCCTTTAATAACATCATCTTCTGATTCACTTTGATCGCTAGATGAACTATCTGTATGGTATTCAGAGTCATCTTTCCAAGAATACCAAGAACATTCAAAGGACTTTGACATGCCTATAGCTTCTACCTCTAAAGACTTAGGTAGTTTCTCTTGCTCTAGGTCTCTAGTACCTAGAAGCCGTCTACATGCATTCGTTTGGTCTGACTTCCTATTCCTAGGAATTTCTTTGCTTGTTTCTCCTCCAATAAATTGCTTAGTGCTCGCGTTTTCGACATCTAGAGCTATATTTCCCACATCTTTTATATCATACTTGACCTGATGTTTCTGACCTGCTACATTTCCGTGTTTTGCAATGCAAGGACTTGACTTGTGATTCTCGCAAACAAAGTGCTCCTGACAAAAAGGAGACTTATAGAGCGCTGCTCCGTGCTTGAATATACAACCTAGCTTAGCAAAACATCTATCCTGCTTCTCTAATTGGTTGAGGTATGGCCACGCAGGTTCTGTTGGATATTCATCCTCGAACAGCTCGATCATCTCGTCTCTAAGCTCCTTAGACTGTTCAAGGTCCTTAATTCGAATACTTTCGTGGAGAATGGCAAACAAGGCTCGCTGGAAGCCAGAAATTAGACGAATCGTAACATTTTCGTGCTTGTTGGCTGCATAAGTTTCAGCAAGCTCAACAAGCTCAACGCGCACTTTAGAGACGATTGAATCCATATCAGTGCTTATAAAAAGATGGTAGTTCTGCTGTTGTCTGTATGATGTATGCATATAGCGGTATTTGTAGTTATGCCAAGTATATATAAAAAATAAGTAGTCGACACTTTTCTACTTGTCCTAAAAAAGAACACTTGCATCAACTTTAATGACCATCTACTTTGTAGGTTTAGCTTTACGACGACTATTAAAAGAGTAGCCCCAATTTCGCAGGAAAAGCTTACAACTTCAGCAATGATATCCTTCTACTTTCTAGTACTTCTAGGTTTTTCTAGGGCGTCATCCCACTGGCGAGAGAGTAATGTCACAAACAACGTCACTAGTGGGGGCTGCGTTAGCATAGTAACTACGACTTCTACAATCGTACTTACTAAAACTTGTGCGATAGGCTCGCAAGGTTTTCTATTCCCAACTAGCCCGTCCCTCCGTTTGCCTTTACCTATATGGAACAACGGAACGAATTCGACCCAAAATCTCTCTAAGCCGACCGAGCCTAGTGTTCCTTTCTCTAGTACCTCAAGTTTGGTAGCTAATCGAGAGACACTAGTGTTCCATATCATCTTCACAACAGCTATGTATATCGGCTCTTTAGCTTTCATGCTCTGAGAAGACATCTTTAAATCATTACAAAACATAGTTCCCAATCAATGCAATTTAGCTAGGAACGGCATAACACTCATGCAGTAAAGATATATATTATCCGTGTCATATTTAATGTTATATACGTATTAGTCAAACCTAAATCTAATAACAGCGGAACCCTGCACTTCAGCACCTAATCTATAGTTATACATAATAACATAATTAGCAAAGCTATGATACACTTTAGCTAATGATACTATGAAGTATATAATAACCCCCCTTTATTTTTAGATACACTACTTTGGTTCCATGTCTTTTGTATTGCTTGAACTGTGTCTGCTTTTAAGCTCTCCAGACTTTCGACGGAAGATGCTCTCTCACTTTTAGGGTTTTCTATCCTTTTATTTTCTCGCTCTGCCAGTTTCAACAGTAGCTGCCGTTGTACTTCTAAGCTTCCTTCAATTTCATGTATATCATGATGATTGTTTCTGGTAATCCGTTTTATGACATGACCTTTGTCATTGAACACTCTGCCTTGATACCTCTCCTGCTCTATCTGGCGAGAATGGCTATTGTCTTTGATGAAATCTTGCAAAGTCTTCTCGGGTGTCCAGGTTGTAGGCATATTTAGACACTTTTAACTAGGGCGGCACGGGCTGTTTAGGAATCCTTGGAACTGTAGTAGTAAGTTTTCGCGAATTTCACAGAGTTCTCCGATTACTTTAACCTACCCTTATATATGGGTATGAAATCAAGAGGTGACTTGTGTAAGAATTAAGCTCACTAATATCCCTCCGTGTGTAGCGGAAACTCCGGTGGGCCGGAATAAACGGATGAAAGGGCCGGATCAGCAGATATTTTAACTCGATCCTATGTTTGATTAGCTAGTTCCGGCTCACGAGATTTTCCGCCATATAGGAAGGGATGCTAGATATAGCTTGAAATGTACTTCCAGTCTGAGTACTAAGAGTAGCAAGCGAGTAGGTCGTAGCACTAATCTAAGTCCCTTTGCAGAAGCTCAGAGATATCTAAACTATTATATCTAGTATGTATATGATTGAATGACGCTATATAGAACTAGCAAGGTGGGAAGACATGTGGTAGCACTAAAAAATATGGAAATTTTCTAACAAGAATCAACTTAATTCCACAACAACTTTTCTCACTTCCAGCCTGCAATTTACTACCTGTCTCTTCAGAACATATATAGCGTTGTTTCTGCTCGCTCACTTCTAGCACGTATGAATATTCTAGTAAATTTACTAGTTACCTTACTACTTGCTTACAACTTAAAAATCAAGAAATAGGAGACCATAGTGCGTAACAGACTCGTGTAAAGACTCGAATTAATAACAATTAGGAGCTGCATTTTGGGTTAAGAATTGCCACATGTACCTGCCAAGCACGATAAGGTGCTAGCAACTTTTAGTTTTTTTTGATAGTACATTGGACCGCAAAAGCCCCTAATATCCTTTTCTATATGGCGGAAAACCCGGTTAGCTGGAGTAAGCCAATCAAACATAGTACCGTGCCGGAATATTTGATGACCCTGCGCTTTCAGCGGTTCATTCCGGCCCATCAGGATTTCTGCGATATATAGAGGTAAGTTACACGCTCCTGGGTGCGAATAAATTTTCGTTTTTTGATAGCACATTGGACCGTGAAAGCCCCTGCATGTTCCTGGTGCTATGCTATATCATGATGCTTATCCTATCATCTTATGTTTATACCAAGAATTAGAGAATTTTTATATTAAAACATTATGCGCGCCATATATCTCGTACGTTTGATGCTAGTAGCAATACTCTCTCTAACAAGAGGCAGGAGTCTGCTGCTGATGAGCCGCTTCTAGATCAGATTCAGGCTGGAATGGGAGAAGAAGAGGCATGATGAGCAGCCCATCAAAGATTCTGCTAACTCTTAGTAGCTTATCTCGACAGCGAAAGCTTTTCTATGCCTCCTCGCAAGGGCGGAACCTGAATATCTAGAACATGTTTGGCCAAAGCTTCTACCACACAGGCTGTCTTTTGATAACCGCTCGAGTTTCTCTATACGAGCTGGGCAGTCTGAGCACTCATCGCATCCAGCTATTTTTGATACCCAAATATCCACCAATTTCCTTCCCACTAGCCGCTCTCCGGTCGAAACAGACAGAAATCAGGAGGACAACGTTTCCGTAGCCCATAACTCCAATAACCAAGCAGGGGCTTCTAAATGCGCTCCAAGTCCGGCCCTTTTACCTTCCTACATAAGTTCTGCTTCGATATCGCCGTCACCACCTGCGTCCACCCCTAGCCCAATACCAGAGTATGAGCCTATATGGCTGGAGGGATCTCCGAAGTCTCTTTACGCTCAACGCATGCAACGACTAGATCATCTTCACCCTGAAGTTCAGAACCACATAGCAAACATTATTTGGCTTGGCGATCACTTTCTTCAGGAAGATGTAGGGAAGTTCTTGAGATTGTTTTGCCGCAGGTGGAGTCAGACAGATCTAGGCTATCGTCCCGTCCCAAAGGATGTAGCTGGCGAAGATTCAAGAATTCAAAGCTTGTTTAAACGGTATTACCACGCTGAAACCTTCAGGCGTCGCTCGGATATAGATCGTCTTAAATTCAGATTCTTAAGAATCTTACTTTATCACGATTTCGAAGAACTTTGCATCAATATACAGAATAATCTGGAGAGATACAGACCTCTTTCCCGTGGTCAGGATGTAGCCACTGTTGCTACCGATAAATTTATCGAAGGGCTTAGTAAGGCTTCTGGGGATGTCCTTGTACGAACGGAATATCAGCTGCGCGAAAGCTTTCGAAAACACAAGGCGATCGGCAGAAGGTGGTCTATAATAGCATCACACTTTGGCCTCGGCATTCTATTAACGTGCAGCCCCGATCTAGAGACTAAAATGTATGATTTCCATGAGTCATAGATGTATTTTATCTAACACATCTAGCAATGACCACAACTTTCCTGAACGAAGTTTCCCAGCTCTACTTACATATATGACTAATACATATCCTAGAGGAAGTCAGCTGAGCCGGGAACTTGACCCTTTCGCTTGCTCGATAATCCAAGGAGTTTCGCCGCCTTTATGGCCAACATCAGCATCTTTGAACCTTGTTAGCTCTTATAGGCAAGAGAACGAGATTAAGGACGTTGATCTTTGTAAAGAGTGGCTACGTGTAGAAGTGCATAATGAGTTTTATCGTATTTTATAGAACAGACGGAATGAATTTCGATGAATTTAATCTAGATACTAAGCGCAGGTAGATAGAAAAATACTAACTACAGGAGTTATAAAGGGCCACTTGCTAAAGCTGTAGTAATGATTATTGCTGTCTCTATTGTTGCTATGTTGCCTGTTAGACCCTCCAAAGTCTGCTAATGATGGCGATAAAGATGAGTAGGAAATGTCGAAGACGCGTGAAAGAAAGGCCGATAAGGATGGTTACGCTCTCGTTGATTCTATTAAATACTAGATAAGCCTGCTCAATCGCCACTCCAGCCTTGCCTAGATGGCTATTGATATCCTGCCTATACCTGTTGTATGCTACGAGTGTGAGTGCATATTTAGCAAGCTAGTGGCCTCTTGGAGCCAACTTTGGCATTGAAGCAGCAAACCTAATTAATATAGACGATATCTATATGCACATGCTTCTATAAGATCAGAGTGATAAGGACAAGTAACTAGTCTAGTTGGTTAATTGATCTGTATAGCACCGAGCAGATTAGGTCTCTAACTATGTCTCAAGCTGAAACATCAAAGAGGCGAGCTAATTTAGCTTATTGACATCTTGTTTGAATCTTAAACTGAACAAAAGGCTAAGGCTAAATTTATTAACAAGTCCATATCGCAGGGCATTTGCAGCAGCACAGTGTTTCCAGTAGCAGGGTGTTCCTGGAAGCTGAGCATTGTTAGGAGCAAAGCGTTTCTAGGAGCAGAGTGTTTCTAGAAACGCTGCGCTTCTGGAAACGCCGTGCTCCTAGAAACGCTCTGCTCCTAGAAACGCTCTGCTCCTAGAAACGCTCTGCTCCTAGAAACGCTCTGCTCCTAGAAACGCTCTGCTCCTAGAAACGCTCTATTTCTAGAAATGCCCTGCTCTTAGAAATCGTATACTATCTAATAGTTATAGCCTAACTTTTAATTATTATTTTACTTCCTAGAAACGTTCTGCTTCTAGAAACACCTTACTTCTATAAACACTATACTATCCAATATAGCCCAACCTTTAAGTATTTACTTACTTTCTAGAAACGCTCTGCTCCTGGAAACTCTCCATATTCTCTACTGTAGTCTAAATTTTATGAATTTATTAACTTCCTAGAAGCAGAGGGTGTCTAGAAACCCTATACTTTAGAAACGCTATACTACCTAGAAAATATTCAATATAGCCTAACTCTTAGGAATTTGTCAACTTCCCTAATGTTACGAACTTTGACTAGAAGGCACATGATAGCATCTACTGGAGGCCTTGATGGAGCTTGTGCAGCTGTATGTACGACATTATACTTCTGACGATGTGGGCACCTGCACCTATACAACTACTTCCAGGCCCTATCTCCGTGGCTGGCATGGCCAAATACTGCAAGCTTATGGGTTTTTCCATGGCTATACCTGCAGCTGTCTGCACGTGCTCTTGTTATGTAAGTCTTCCCCGGCTCCACTATACGGAATCGGTTTACGACGTAGAGCAGGTACAAAATGTGTAAGCCCCCCATATTCATTACTGCACGAACTCTTGTCACTATGGCATCCTTTGTATCGTTCAGCCTTGCGATTTGTTTTATTATTGGACCCATACTAAGCAGTACGCTCACTTACCTTGATATCAGAAATCTATTCAGGGCGGAAACACAGGTTTCCGAGTACGATTACCGTTGGGAGAGGATTATAGGAATCTTTATCGGTACCAGTTCAGTAGGCCTAGCGATCACTGGGCTTATTGCAATCGCGACCGAACCCTATCCAATAGAGATATACACCTGGCTTGATGCAGTCATTATGTATAATCTCCAACTTCTTACTATCAATAATGTAAGGTGATCTGCCCACCTCGATAGCTAGTCTCCGACTAATAGGAACTTCAGCTCGCCCGAATGCTTCAGATCTTCATCTTTCGTCCCTGGAATATATGGGCAGTACATTTGGTAGCAATTCTAGCTATACTGGACATTGCTTCCGCTGTTACGTAGGTGAACTGAGTTTGTATCCGAGGTTGTCTAATTCCAAGTAGAGGCAAAGCAGCATCTCCTGCTTATGAGTCAGCACTGCTAACTCGTTTCGGTACTGTATCGCTTTTCTCATTAGGACTCTCATACGAGCAATTAGAGATCCACAAGAACTCAGGATCTGACCATAGAGACGAAGAATATATGCGATTGTTGCATACCTTCGTCTTTACGAATGCCGCTGCAGCATCTAGCCAGCTTTGTGGCGCAATCATCACCTTTAGTTTCGCAATTACTAAGAAAAGCACTTCCACTGAACTACGACAGGGTATTTTAATGGTGAGTCTTAGTCAAACCTTATCTCGTTATCTAACCTTTACTAGGCATGTACTTTTACACAGCTATTATGTTATCTTCCTTTCTATGTTAATCGAATATGGCGCCGAATTCTGCTAATAGCTGATTGGATAAGAAGACTGCGCCACTTATTCGTCTTTAGATTAGGAGACGAAAGCAATGTTTAAACAGTGCAATAGTAGAACAAGAAGGGTTGCGAGGGAAAACGCTGATTAGAGGCTATGCGTTAATTCGTACATCTATTTAGTTAGAGATACGATAGTTAGTGGCATTATTGTATATTCTGCGCTGAATGTTTGGGATGATTACTGTGTGGCTATGCGGCAAGAACTTGTAATTGTTCAAAGGATAGAGTTTTAGTAGTACTTACCCTATTCGTCTCGGTAGTTAGTATCATTAATTGATAATTCCACGTAATGGCGAGGGGTAACTGTAGCTGTGGCCTTGCAATGAGCTAAGCCGTTTAGCCAAGTCGAAGCGCTTTCTAAGCCCGTCCCAGAGGGGTAAGGCTAAGTGAGTTTTCTATTCCACTTTATAGTATATATAGCCATAATGATGGCAGCTAGTTTAATATAAATAACGTCAGTCCTGCTTTGTAGCCACTATTCGATTAGAATATAGCCTTGCTATATATCTTCTAAACCTGTTTACTAGGCATGCCTGTTTGACAACCACTTCACAAGTTTGGCTATCGGCCCGCCGTTTAGCTTCTGTTCGCAAGACCCATTACTCACGTGCTGGAAGAGTCCTGAAAGTTTCGAAAACGCAGCGTCGCATTCTGGACACCTGAATAGATAAACCGCACTGAGGTACTCTTCCTCGAAATCATAACAGCTGAGGATGTCGTCACGGTATTCCTCGTCCAGGAACTTCTTCCATTGATAACACATTGCAGCTGACTCGTTTAAGTCAAGAGTATCAATGCCAGACGTACACGTCCCAGACTCTAGATGAATGATCATTCCAGAATAAGTAGTGAAGGATCGAGTGCAACCATAGCATTCGATGGAAGGCTCCAGGTGCACCAGCTTATGCTATTAACTATTAGAGCGACGACTGAAGCAGGGTACGAAGAGAACATTCGAACACGGTAATACCTACATGTCGCAGATTATTAAGGCTATCAAAGTGACGCTCGTATACCGTACACACGTTATCGTCCGTCAAATGCTCCTTGTACGCTTGGCTGTCCGGTATCCACCACCCACCATCGTCACAACCGTCGCATATAATCCTATGAAGCGTGCTACGGTGGTGTTGTACCAACTCATCATAGGAGGAGCCGTCGAACTAACAGACATCGCAAATGTGGTGACGAGCTGAGGCATCGTAGTGCTGGTCTCTTGCTCGACCAGTATCTAATGTTCGGTCGCAACGGCGACAGTAAGGCTTAGCAAAAGTACGAGTTCTAGCATAGCCTGTGCGGATAGCAGTCATTATAACTAAACTATGTTAGACAGAGAATGAGCATAGGCAAAGAGTTGACTGGATACATGGCCAAGCTCTGCGGGACTAGAGGAGATCCGCCCGCCAAGGTTCTGCACAGCAGCTACAATAGTCTCGTGCACGAGTTATTGCCGGACCAACTACTAACATAGTTGCATCTTCATCAGCCTTGCGTAATACTTCGGCTTGTAGCGGGTCCTCGCAGCGGTTAAGATAGAGGTCAGCGCAAGCCTAACCAATACCCAGGATTAAGTAATGGTCATTTCGCGTCTTCGCATTTCTTAGCCACAGACCTACTGACTCTGAAGCGTAGGCAGATAAATTATTGCTAACAGCGCTTGAGCAGTCGCTATCGGGTAGGGTGCACTCTCCTAAGCGTCACGCTGCCGCCTAAAGCGGCCTGTGCGTCATCCTTGTTCTGCGTCTTAGGACGTCGCGCCCGCCCTTGGGTATTCATCCTTCTTTGAGTGGCGCGTCGCTCGATTGCCGCAACACCATAACGTTCCAACTTCGCCTCTTGCAAACAAGCTTGGTCATGGCCCCAATTCGTCCACTCCCTCCTCCTCCTCCTCCTCCTCCTCCTCCATAGTAAGCTTATCTTTGTCTCTGCCACGTTTCTCTTTGGGCTAACAATAGCCCTGTCAGTGACTTTCCTGAAAAGCCTGATATGCCCACCATTTTCGACACCGACCTCACTACCGTCGTTGATATGACGAAAGCTAAGAATATCGCTGTGCACAAGATTGACAAGTCGATCTGGCACCTGCAAGACTCTAACCGCATACTCAAAAGAGGGCCTAATGTAAAGGTCGCAGAGGCAGAAGCTTTGCGGTTTGTCGCCTCGTCAACCAATGTGCCTGTTCCAGAGGTGTTTGGCGCTTACGAAAGAGATGGCTTTGGAAACATTTTTATGTCTAGGGTTATTGGAACACCGCTACATGACGTTCTGCATACCTTTGACGAGGCACAGGTGGAAACAGTGACTGCACAACTTTCAGGATTCGTTCAGAGCTGGATGGGTCTACGTGGTGACTTTTTTGGGTCTATGGGCTCCAAACCATGTCGAGATGTCTTTTTTCAACATTTACCTGCTGCAAACATGCCAGACCGGGAATATGGCCCATTCAGGTCGCGTACAGAATACTGTGACGGGCTTATCGATGCACTTCGAAATTCCCGGCCTTATGGACGATTCGATGCCAATGATGCACACCTAATAGAAAGAATCCAGCGCCTTGGGGACGGATGCGCTGTATTCTGCCATGGAGATCTCACCCCAGACAACATACTCGTTGATGACCAACTCAATGTGGTTGCTATCCTAGATATGGGAGTTTCAGGGTTCAGTATCCCTGAACGTGAATACTTCGAAGCAAAGTCGCGCGCTCGTAATTCTTTGTGGTCTTCTATGATCGATCAGATAATCCCAAAGATACCAGATGACACTTATGCCTTACTATTAGAACTCGAGCGTGAGCTCGTTCGATATAGTGGACTATGAGGTTTACCTAATCCAGATCTCCCTTGTCACTCCAATTCTACCTTCTTGCTGCGGTCCATCTCCCACCCACTGCTGCTGCAACGTCTTTAGAAGGCTTCCCGACGACTCCTTGAATCCAACCTGAGGTACCGGCAGGGAGTAATTCCTCAGCTTCGAGTGCAATCACGCAATCTAGAGTCCAGTCTTGACATCGATCCTGCATTGATTAGAATTATATCTAATCAGCAATGGTGTTCTTACTTTATTGTTCCGCGGTGCTGGTTCTTTTGATATGATATCCACAACCTGATTATACTTTGTCGGTTCGATATAATCTAAAAGTACCCTTCCTTCACAAGTCTGGCTTTCTAGTGGGTGACCGCTGCGAGTTTCGAACTGATAAATCAATCCTTCGGAAGACATCAACTGTACGTGCAGGAGGTTTCCAACTTCGTTTCCCTGACGGAAAATCAGAAAACCCCAATGGGAGCGGTGGTTCGGGTCTTCTCCGTCCCCATAGATTCCGATCGACAATGTATAGTACGACATCGGTCTCGCGCAACGCAAATTATTCCAAGCTTAGTATTGGGAGGTATTCAAGAAGATTAGAGAAGAGTGGAGGACTGGCTGAACACGATGAATGAAGGGACTGTGTTAAATACACGAAAGATGCAGTATAGACAGATTTGGGATCATCTCCGCTTCCAAGTTCCTGCTAACCAGTGTATCTACATGGAAAATTCTAAATTCAGCTCGAAGTACACGTCTCACCTGATCAAGGCAGCCCGGCAGGCTCTCAAAAAGAGATCAATGACCGCAACTGCTCATAATGGCATTATCACGCATAACAGTATCCTGAACCCGGACTATACAACTAAAACCCCAACTTTGTGTCTGGGAATGAGGGATAGAGGCTGTTGGATCAGGTGAAGAAACTGTCATCGCCGCGCTTTCTAAAGCTAAGCAAACTGTTTATATCTAGGAGCCACCACTTAAGGACGTAAAGCACAACAATCTACTCCTCCTCTCCTCCACGCTCCCTTCTCCTCTCTATATGTTGAGTTTTACACGTACTGTTCTTGCCCACTTACCTTATAGCATAACTTTATCCTTATATCTAGGCGAGAGACGCGGGAGGTAGACGTGAGTAAACAGCACAAGTGCATCATGGACTTCTTATTACACTATGTACAAAGAGTTGACACTTTGAAACCCAACGTCCGCCATCGCGACGGTTCTCTATTCAGATGCTCCTGTGGGATTCTGTACCCTACTCTAGTCAGGACGAACCCTGTTGTTGGCAAGCCTGCGCAGGCGTTCGTAAATGTTTTTGTAAATGCGCTCGTACGTCACTACTAGCTCGTTTTCGGGCGTCTTGCAATATGGGTAAATGAACGTAGCAAGTTCCCACGAGAGAAGCTCAACTCCAGTACATTGGACTCCGTTGATGACATGTGTGGCTGGATCAAACGCGTAAGGATATCCGTTGAAACCAATCGTGTAGAGCTGAATAATGGGGTATCCCTTGGCAGTGAGCCCATACCTGGCCTCCTTACTGCTCGGGTCGCGTAAGAGCTCGGCGATAAGGTAGTGGGGCTGTTCGGTGCCATTGACGACAATAGGAAGATCTGGGTTCGCGTCGACGAATTCTTTCAAGCCGTCTGTAGACATGACAGCCTGCCATGAGCCATCGGGCGGGAACTTTGGTCGCGACTGCGGATGGAAGATACACAATCCAACAGGGACTGCGACCTCAGGAAAGTAGGTTGTAAGGAGGCGATAGTGTTCTGGAAATGGTAGGCCATAGTCATGGCACTTTCGCAGACGATAGCCCTGGCCTGAGTGTAGTGGTGGTTGGCCCACAAGCTGTTCAACCTAAGCAAATTGTCTGTTAGAAAGAGCGCGCGCACGGCGTGGAAGCGGGACACAATAACTACCTCTGGCAACTGGCTAGCAGCCACGTACGTGGCGACGCTGCTCTCGGATGTTATCATGGTGAGTAGGTTAAGGGCTTGTAGTAGGTGCAGAGCAGATAGGTAGAAGAGGAGTGTAGCGCGCGAGCAACGATCCGCGTGTCCACGCCCAAGGCAAACGGCAAACGGTGGGAGAAGACTCTAGGGGCTAACGGTCATGTTGAGTATCTGCGTGCTCTTCTTTATATCCTCCCTCGTGATCGTAGATACGCCAATCAGAGTGGTCATATCGACCTCGTCAATATTGACATCTGCATCACGCGAGCGGCTAGCAGACGGGGATACAGCTTCTCACTTAGGTTAATCGCGGGATACACGTTGTCTCTTGCTGTGTGTCTCCCGCTTGCTGTTTGGTGTCGTCATAATGGGAGTGGCGTCATGGACATTCTAGTAGACATCTTGGGCCGACTTCATGGTGCCTTCTTTAAGGTTCCAGCTCATGTTGACGCCTAGTACAATGTTGTACAACCTAAGGAACCTGTCCTGGTCGTTAAGCAAATAGTCCACTTTGCCTGCCTTATCTAGTGCATTAAAGTCTGGGTGACGGTTATCAACGAGTCCACCGTTATAGCCATGCGGGTGCTTCAGCCCGCCCTTGGTTACTTCGCCACATAGACTATATGCGTTTATACTTATCTATATGCAGGTAACATGCGCCGCGCTGTATAGGACTATTGACCCCTATGGGGACTTGGGATGTCATTGCGTACCACGTCCGACAACCCAACTAGTCTAGCCAAGACTAGTAATATATAGTGAGCTTTCAGTCCCTCTTATAAGATCACTCCTCTTCAAACCTACAGTCAGTGCATTCTCGAGAAGCCAAGAGAGCAATGAGTTCTCAAGATACTATTCCAGATGATACACTATATCAAGTATGCATAACTAGATATCACACGATTAAGGATTATAACTAATTATCTTAGGAACATCAAAACTACCTGTTAGTCAGGGATGATGTCGTTTACCCAGCTTCAGATCTACCAGAACCAGCACACGCAAGCAAGCCGTCTGGTGATAAGAAGAACAAGGAGCAGCTTAGTAAATTCATCTCGCGCGAGACCAAAGAGGCAGTCTTGCATACCAATACTAGTAAGGTTATCCTCCCTACATATAGAGTAGCGCTTAAAAATTATATAGAGCGCAAGTTTGAGGAGAGCAATACCGAAATGAATACTCTAGACAAATTAAAAAATATGGAGGGGTGGCTAGAACGTATGTTAGGTGAAATAGCTGGCTTGATCTCTGATTTCGAAGAAGCGCCCGAATGCACTCATAAGACTTTGCATAAAAGCGGCAAGCTCGTTAGATGGGCAGATAGTACTGGTACCTCTGGCCCTAATGACGATGAACATCGCGTTGGGAAAAAAGCACGTAGAAACCTTTAAACTCTGAAATAGTTCTTCGAACGATTCCATCGATTAGTTCCTACCTCACATGTTCTTGTGGCTACTTGTTAGGAGGGCTTGACAGAACACCGAGAAAACATAATGAAGCTCTCTGATGACGACGATATCACTAGCTTTATGCTTTTGCTAAGTGAACTATGAACACTACGCTATCGAACCACCTTCGCCAACTTGCTGCGTTAGACATGAGATTGTCTCTAAATCTTCAAACGGGACATCCACTGTCTCAGCCATGTCTGGTGATAAGTGTAGGGAGCTATTTTCCCAGCTGTTTTCCCAGCTGTTTTCCATCTTAGATCTACTTTCTTGTATGCTCCCTACATCAGGACAGTCGTTCTTGTTCCAGGAACCATGTACGTAAGCTAAGTGTGACGAGGCACATCCATTTGATGAGCTGTGGTTCAAATATGACGCCGAGTTTGATAGGTCATGATGATATACCGGACCATTACTTGGAATAATCGGCGTATGAAAGGTAGCATCTATTAGAGCCTCTGCTTTTAGCTTATATTGACACAGAACTATAGAGGTTAGATATGCACTCTCTACTTAAAGGTGGAGTTTTAGTGTAGATTCGCACCCTTTTCTAACACTTCTATGGCTGCTGATGTGTGCAGCAATCGCTCCCGTAGCGATACGTTGTTGGATTCGAGCTCTTTATTCTAAATTAATTAATAAGATAGTTTATCTATAGATGTTTAATTCCGAACCTGGCGTTCAAGAGTATTAATCTGATTTTTGACTCTCTGGCGCGACTTTCGTTGACTCTCCCGGTTCTTTTTTCTTCTCTGTACAAGTTGGGCGGCTGTGAGCTTCATAATGTTATGCAAATTTGCTTCTAACAACCGTTGTGATTAGGTCGATAGGGAAGATAGTTGAATAAGATTAAAGTAAATATTTCTCAGTAACCAGCATGATGACAGTAATTAATAGTTATAGAGATGCATTCATAAACTGACCCAGTAGAAAATGAAGACATAACTGAGGCTAATAATACCGCTAACTAGGCTTCGTTAGCCGTGCAACGCTGCTCAAAGAGACACGTAAATACTGCTTAGTACTGGTATCACAAGTCGCGTTGGTGGTACAAGGCAAGCAGAACAGATACTAGAGTCAGTTCCTCGCACCCAAAGCGTACCAGGAAGCCTCGGTGCTATGGTGTAGTATTATATAATTTGGAGCGCAGCTACAACTACTACATATAAGTTGTTGAGTGTTCGTGGGCGCTGACTTCTTGTGACCCCCATATGCCCAGTTACACCGCCCGCGCACCGACCCCCGATAAGTACCCGAGATTTTCCCGGTTGTTTTGATCTTCGAAACATGAACAACAAGCAGAGCTGCGACTCTTAACGGCGAGCTTACACAACCTAATAAGTCGATAGCCCTTCAGAACATATTTCTAAGCATGAAGCACTTTAACTCAGATGTCGACGCTGTGCAGCAATCGGAATGTCCCAACCATATTTCGAAGCGTCGCAAACTACGACTGGGCAACCCCAGGACGCGCCGCACATCTCCGCCCCATTCGAATCCATCGAAATTACCAAACTCAGCGTCACAGTCGTCCTATACATCCTCACAACCATTCATACACGCCGAAGAAACACTCAAGAGTACACACCAGCACGTGTTAGTAGAGCCAGATGAGAAAGCAGCGTCTATAGCACACTGGGTCATAAGATGCGAGGCTGACACGATGGCACCACCAACACCACGAAGCGGATCTGTTTCGTCCAGCCGTGGGAGACGCTCCTCTAAGCGTTCTGCACGTGCGTCTCGAACGCCCAGCCCTAGCAAGCGAACGTTACCACAAACGTACCGTAACCAGAATATGTCTTACGCTGGAGTCTTCATTGACGACCTAGTTGAACTTCCGCATGAGGTTAAATGCAAAGTGCAGTATATACTAGAACTAGAGTCTTTGGAGAACGCAAATGGTATAACGGAAGACGAATCGCAGCAGGCCGCCTATGTGAAAAGGTACCTGGATCAGTCGCGTTCTAATGCAAAAAGTTGTTCGCTCGAAGGAGATTGGAAAGCCAGTTTATTCAGCCTTATGGGCGACTTAGCACGAGACAACTTCCAATGTCATACATCAGAGAAGCGTGAGTTCGCAGACCGTGTCTGGAGAATTGTTACGAGATGCTGATACTCCATCTAGTGTGGAACGCCGACCTCAAGCCCTCGCCGCCCGGCGTAGCCCAATCTGACGATGAAAGTGGTGCATCAACACCGTGCTTTCCACAGCCGCCATCTATGCCCCCCAACTTCGATTCACAATCAGCTTCCGGGTTTCCAGGGCCAGTGCCTTCACTGCAACCGTACACACCCTCCATCGCTTACACGACCAGCAGCGAAGCTGCCGACCCGTTCTACATCTCAACACCAAAGCCGGACATCGTAGTAGGACTTGATGACAGGCATTTCGCGCCAACGCATCGATTTCGGTTGGCTAAACACCAACGCTTTGGATCGATACTGAGCGACCCACATACGGCTGCCATGGGCTTGCGTTTCCCCTTTCTAATTGCAGAGACGAAAGGTTTGAGCCTGAATGGAGGTCTGGTGGCTGCGCAGAATCAAGCTGCTATTGGTGCCGCTTGTATGCTGAAGATACTAGATGAACTTGAGAACCAGGCTACACTGCTCACAGAATCTGCGTCTCCAGCAGAACCCCCACTCTGTTTCTCTATTACGACCGAGGGTCCAGTACATGAGTTGTGGGTCCATTTCAAAGTTAGAGACGCGACTCATATGCATAATATTAGGACGTGGCGTACAACAGACGCACGCCACGTGCGGGAGCTGGTGTGCTACCTTACTCGAATTTTGAAGTGGGCTAAAGATGACTTCATGGAGAAAATACGAGAGAAGTTGAACACGGTACCAGACTAGATGACTGTTAACTGCCAGCGTCTAGCCTCAGCTCTTTTTCGTATTAATTTCTGATATCATGGGGGCCCTCTGTCGTACGTCTTCTCTCCCTCCTCTCAGCTTAACGAATAGGCGATTTAAATGCAAGTTGAATCTTTGTTATGTATATTTATGAGCTCACGGCACTGAAGATGCACTTAAATAGCTGCTCTACAGCCTGGCAGCGGAAATTGTCTAGATGCACTAAGCCTAACTACTACGCCTGAAGCTTGGTATGACAGCTCTACTAGACTAGGAATTCAGCATAACTAGAGTGCTTGTCCTAATTGGTGCTTCTTGTAAAGCTGCTCTAATATCGAAAAGAAAACTACTAAAACGTATTTGACAGTTATCTTAGTTGCAACTAGTATACATGACTTTCCTATGCATAAAACATCTCGACATATTTTCATCATGCTCCAAAAAAAGCCAATTGCCTCGAGAGCTTTCTTGACCATCGATATAACGTGTCTGTATAGCGAGTCGGTCAGTAGACCGAAGCGGTCACTCTGCCAAGACCCCACCAACTTTGACTACTATACGTGATGCCTCTACGCAATAACGTCTAAAACTCTTCAAAAGAACCTCAATTACAGCTTGTAATACAGGCTATCTAACGTGACGCAATACTTAGCCAGCGACGCGCTGCAGCAATCTACAGTGTCTCCTAAAGCACCCTTAGTGATCGACTCGCTAGAAAGCTCTCTCGACAAGATTCTACGCCTAACTTAATAAAGCTTCTTACGATAGAAGAGTAACGTCCATCCCTGTGGGTCGAACATCCCTCCGCAACGAACCACCAACATTGTTCAAGTACCTCACGCCCAAGCTGTAGAGACTCTTAGATTTAAGTACACCTTAGTATGCTCTTCAGATCTATCTCTATCTATCGCAAACCTTAAGTAGCAAAATTACAGCAACCTAAAGGGTGTATATGAATCTTTCGTGTTAAGCGTTGAAGCTGCAATGACAACATACCCCTGTTCTATTTCTTGCAGAAGCGTAGCTTGATTATTCGGGGATCCTATGCAGTCTATAGCAAGCTGAAGAGTGTATAGCTATTCTATGAACACGTGCAGCCTTTGCTTAGGTGCATTCCGAGTTTGTCCGGCTCGGTGTGCTAGTCCTTCGCGTTTAGCGAGAGGATTTAGAACGCCGACAAAGCAGCATTACGAACGTTTAGCGTGCTACAATGTACACCTGCGCTATGCTAAAAGAGCTGAAGCTGTGGCGCAGAGTTCTAGTAGCTTCCATCAGGTGCTGCTCAAGCGCAGCCGCTGGCTATTTTTAGAAGCGGACTGGTTGCGGATCGTGCTGGCTTCTTGCTCGAGGTATCCCTCAGTCACCACAACTACGAACATGGACCCAGCCAGCCAGGCGCTCGCGCAACGTCTGCCTAAGGGTGTGCGTGATACATGTGCTGCTCGATCAGAGCACGGCGATGTCCCTATCTCAACTCTTATCCACCGTAGGCTCGGGCGACGCTCACGAGCAGAGCAGGCTCAGAGCCAGCAGTACTTGCCTCGAGAGGAGGAGAAGGCGCTTGTAAAGTTCCTGCTACTGATGTCTAGTCTCGGACAACCTGTGCGGGTTAAGTATCTTCGCTCGCTAGCCTTCAGCATAGCCCGCCAGCGGTCCACGAAGAAGTCGATCAAGCGTCTAGAGAAGAACTGGCCACGAGCGTTCGAGAAGCGTCACCCCGAACTCCAGGCGAGAAGGGTCAGATCGATAGACTGGAAGCGTCACGGAAACAATATATTCGAGAAGATAGTAGAGTGGTTCGATGTGATTAGCTAGGTACCACAGCATCCATGTGTACTGTTAGAAAACGTGTACAACATAGACGAAACTAGAGTCATGCTAAGTATGCTTGGCTCCACAAAAGTCTTAGTTGGCAAGGACGATCGACAAGGTATTAGAGGTGCGGGTGTTAAGCGCACTATAGTAACTGCTATTGAGTGCATTAGTGCTGACGGAAGGGCCCTCTTGCCACTCATTATATGGCCAGCTTCGACCCATCGCAGCAACTGGACCACGCACGAAACCCCTGGATGGCACTACGCGCACTCAGAGAATGGGTACAACGACTCTAAGATTAGCTTGGAGTGGCTTAAGCGTGTGTTTGAGACCCAGACGTGCGAGAGAGCAAGTGGAAAACTACGTATACTAATCTGTGATAGCTTCGGAACGCATGAAACACTCGAGATTCTAGAGTTCTGCTTTACTAACAATATTATCTTGTGTCGTCTGCCTTCTCACACCTCTCACAAGCTGCAGCCATGCGACGTCGGCCCTTTTGCGCCCTTGAAGAGCGCGTATCGTGAACAAGTCGAGCGACTCAACTAAGGAGGCGTAGATATTGTTAGCAAAGAGCATTTCACTTATCTCTATAGTTCTGCAAGAGATCGCGCACTAACTAAAAGGAACATCAGAGCTGGGTGGTCTGCAACTGGCTTGTTCCCTTTTAACCCAGAACGAGTGCTCAGAGATCTCCCTAAACCTCCAGCGGAAGTAAGCAACATATTAGCTCTAGGAGCCGAGATTGTGAGCACTGATGTGCTGGATGATGTGCTGGACGATGTGCCCCGTACACCTACCACGCCAGTAACAACAGTGACGACAGAAGCGCTTACGACACTGCACGATCTAATTATAAAGGACACACACGCGCTCGAAAAGACGAGTAAGGACCTTCTATAGAGACGCATACAGAAACTGGCAAGCGCTGCTAAAGTATCGTTCGCCGAGCAGGCCCTTCTTAAAGATCGTAATTACTTCTTCCTTCAGATTAACCGAGAAGCCAAAACCCGCCAGTCGACAAAATCTGTAGTTCTAGGCAAGGCTAAGGTAATGAATTTCGAAGACCTTGAGGAGGCTAGGGCAAAGCGTGCTGCGAAGGAGCATGTTTTCGCAAGCAAGCCGAAGCGTGGGCGCAAGCGCAAGAGCGACGCGCTAGAAGGATCGACGGTCCTGCCGTCGCCAAAGCCCAAAGTATTAGTAGTGCAACAGATCGATGCGCCTGAACTAACGCGTGCGCCGGTATCTGCATGGAGAGCGCCTGTAGCTAGGATGTACTAGACCGCTTTCTCTAGTTCTGTATAATGGGGTCTCGCGGCGTTGAGTAGGCTGAATAGAAAGGCGAATTTAAATTGGGTTAAAACCTAGAGGTTGTCTATAAGTGTTACATTTACGCGACTGCTTGCTTGTTTAGTTCTGCGTCGTAACGGGCAAGCTTTAAACGTGTCAGTGCTTAGACTTCTACTAACAGTGTTAAGGGCCCCATGTCCTATGCAGCTCTCGATGCAGACGCGCTTCAGCCTTGCCAGCAGTGCATGATGCATGCATAGAGCCACGCCTTACCCCGCCTGAGGCTTCACATAGGCTTCATCCCCAAGTCAAGAACACAGCGAGAGCAGGCATCTTGAGCTCACGACATCTTGACGCATCACAGTATCCCGTTGGTATCTGAGCTGGTGCGCCTGCTCGTCATCCTCTCTATATGCTGACCATCCATCAGTAGCAGAAACGCAGCTAGCAAGCAAGCGCTCGCACCACTAGGCTACTAGGTTCAGCCTTGCGAGTTCTGTTTCTTATCGAACATACCTACTATACACCCACACGAACCTATGCGGCTCTTACAGTACGGCGAAAGCGGAGAACTCAGCATCCACAGCTTCGACGATGGCGACATACCCCCCTACGCGATACTCTCACATACCTGGGGAGCAGATGGCGATGAGGTGACCTTCGCGGACCTCCAGACAGGTGGCGGCAGGAGGAAGCTAGGCTACAAGAAGATCCTCTTCTGCGGAAAACAAGCACGACATGACGGTCTGCAGTACTTCTGGATCGACACATGCTGCATTAACAAGAATGATAAGGCTGAGCTCACCTTTGCTATCCGGTCAATGTTCCGCTGGTACCGCAGCGCAGTTAGGTGCTATGTCTACCTGTCAGATGTGTCAAAGAGGAAGATGAAAGCCTGCGACAGAGCTACTGAGCCTAGCTGGGAGCCTGCTTTCAGGCTAAGTCGGTGGTTTACGCGTGGCTGGACGCTTCAAGAGCTTCTTGCTCCAGCCACGGTCGAGTTCTTCTCGCAAGAAGGAGAGAGCCTTGGCAGCAAGACATCGCTGCAGACGATGATCCGCGAGATAACTAGCATTCCGCTTGAAGTGCTTAACGGGGCCCCACTTTCTCAGACCGACGTCAACGAGCGGTGGAGGTGGGCAGAGGGCCGGATGACTGGGCGCGTCGAGGACAGAGCATACTGCCTGCAAGGAATCCTCGATGTTGAGCTAGCGCCGGTATATGGTGAGGGCGAGGCTGGCGCTTTTGACCGTTTAAAGCGCGAGACGTACAAGCTGGAACAATGCATCCAAGACATACGCCAAACAGACCCGCGCGACGACAAGAAGCGCATCGAGGAGACAAAAGGTGGACTGCTAGCAGACTCCTATCGCTGGATATTTAACAACACCACATTCATGCAGTGGCATGACGACCAAAACAGCCGACTGCTCTGGGTGAAAGGCGATCCTGGTAAAGGAAAGACAATGCTGCTGTGTGGTATTATTGACGAACTGCACAGTTCTATACCTCAGACTACCCTTCTATCGTACTTCTTCTGCCAAGCGACTGACTCGCGCATTAATAGTGCCATAGCTGTGCTTCGAGGCTTGCTGTACATGCTCGTGCGCCAGCAGCCATCGCTTATGTCGCACGTCCGCAAGAAGCACGACCACGCAGGCAAAAGCTTGTTCGAGGACGCGAATGCCTGGGTCGCCCTAACAGAGATCTTCGCCGACGTACTGCAAGATGCAGGCCTAGGCACAACGTACCTAATTGTTGACGCGCTCGACGAATGCGCGACAGACTTACCGAGATTGCTTAGCTTTATCGCGAAGCAGTCGTCTGCGTCCTCTCGTGTCAAGTGGATCGTGTCTAGTCGCAACTGGCCAGATATTGAGGAAGAACTGGAGCGTGCTGAGCACGAAATGAGGCTCAGCCTTGAGTTAAATGCCGAGTCGGTGGCTGCAGCAGTAGAAGTGTTTATCCAGCAGAAGGTGTGTCGTCTAGCCCAAGAGAAGCGCTACACGCTAGAGGTGCAAAACGCGGTGCTCCAGCACTTGACGTCGAACGCGAACGACACCTTCCTCTGGGTTGCGTTGGTGTGCCAAGACCTCAAAGCAACGCCGAAGTGGGACGTGCGAGAGAAGCTAGCCCAGTTCCCGCCTGGTTTAGACTCACTTTATAGGCAGATGCTAGACCAGATACGCAAGTCTAGCAGCGCTCGAAGATGTCTGCGGGTGCTGGCAGTAACTGCTGTCCTATATCGACCAGTCACAGTCGCTGAGCTAGTTGTACTTACTGAACAGCTTGCAGACCTTGTTGATGACCTAGAGTCTGTGCGGAAGATCATCGGCCTCTGCGGATCGTTTCTCACACTGCGCGACGACACGGTGTACTTTGTGCATCAGTCCGCTAAGGACTTCCTCGTCACAAAAGCGTTGAACGAGGTCTTTCAAGATAGTATAGAATGTGTGCATCAAAACATCTTCGCGAAATCACTTGCACTTCTGCACGAGACACTGCGCAGAGATATATACAATCTTCAAGCGCCTGGATATGCCATAGAAGACGTCAAGCCACTTCTTCCCGATCCTCTAGCCGTGTCCCGCTACCCATGTTTGTACTGGATTGACCACTTCTACGACTCAAAACACAAAACACCAACATATAGTGCTATGAATCAAGAAGAGGCTAGGGCTATAGACACATTCTTTAGACAGAGATATGTCTACTGGCTAGAAGCGCTCAGCTTGTGCGGAAGCATGGCCAAAGGGGTGGTCTCAATGACAAAGCTGTGGGAATTAGTCCAGGTATAGTCTATGTAGCTGCACACATAGTCTTCACAATATAACTGCTAACATCGCTAGGGGCTTGGAGACATAGACGTATTAAATAAGATTGTGTACGACGCACGACGATTCATCAGGTACCACAAAGAAGCAATTGAAAACTTTCCTTTACAAGCGTACGCATCTGCTCTGCTCTTCAGCCCAGCAGACAGCTTGATAAGAAGGCTGTTCCAGCACGAAGAGCCAAGGGGAGTAGTGGTCAAGCCAGCTATGAGCAACGGCTGGAGTGCGTGCCTGCAGACGCTTGAGGGCCATAGCAGTGATGTTACCTCGGTAGCTTTCTCGCACGACTCGACCAAGGTAGCATCAGCGTCAGATGACAGGACTGTCAAAATATGGGATGCGAACAGCGGGACGTGTCTGCACACGCTCGAGGGCCATAGGGATCATGTTAGCTCAGTAGCTTTCTCGCACGATTCTACTCGGCTAGCGTCAGCATCTTGGGACAGCACTATCAAGATATGGGACACACGTATCAGGATATGCCTACACACGCTTGAGGGCCATGGCCTTTATGTTATGTCAGTGACATTCTCGCACAACTCGACCTGGCTAGCGTCAGCATCTTGGGACTTGACTGTCAAAATATGGGATGCGAGCAGCGGGACGTGTCTGCACACGCTCGAGGGCCATAGGGATCATGTTAGCTCAGTAGCTTTCTCGCACGACTCGACCCAGCTAGCGTCAGCATCACATGACAGCACTGTCAAGATATGGGATGCGAGCAGCGGGATGTGCCTGCACACGCTCGAGGGCCACAGCATGGAGGTTGGCTCGGTGGCCTTCTCGCACGACTCGACCCAGCTAGCGTCAGCATCAAGCGATAGGACTGCCAATATATGGGATGCGAGTAGCGGGACGTGTCTGCACACGCTTGGGGGCCATAGTAGTTATGTTAGCTCAGTGACCTTCTCGCACGACTCGACCCAGCTAGCGTCAGCATCAAGCGACAGCACTATCAAGATATGGGATGCGAGCACTGGGACCTATCTGCACACGCTCAAGGGCCATAGTAGTGGTGTTAGGTCAGTGGCCTTCTCGCACGACTCGACCCAGCTAGCGTCAGCATCTTGGGACTTGACTGTCAAGATATGGGATGCGAGCAGTGGGACGTATCTGCATACGCTCGAGGGCCATAGTGATGTTGTTAGGTCGGTGGCCTTCTCGCATGATTCGACCTGGCTAGCATCAGCGTCAGAAGACAGCACTATCAAGATATGGGATGCGAGCAGTGGGGCCTATCTGCACACGCTTAAGGGCCATAATAGGGAGGTTAGCTCGGTGGCCTTTTCACACCACTCGATCTGGCTAGTATCAGCGTCTCGGGACAGTACTGTCAAAATATGGGATATAAGCAGCGAGACTTGTCTGCACACGCTCGAGGGCCATAGGGATCATGTTAGCTCAGTAGCTTTCTCGCACGACTCGACCAGGCTAGCGTCAGCATCTTGGGACTTGACTGTCAAGATATGGGATGCGAGCAGCGAGATGTGCTTACACACGCTCGAGGGTCATAGTAAATGGGTTCAGTCCGTGGCCTTCTCGCACGACTCGACCCGGCTAGCGTCAGCATCTTGGGACTTGACTGTCAAGATATGGGATGCGAGCAGTGGGACGTGTCTACATACCCTTGACGTCGGCACACCTCTTTCGCTCTTGTCTTTCGATTCTACTAGTACTTTGCTCCACACAGAAATAGGCACTATTGCTATCTCTAGTTCCCAGGTCACGGACCGCATCGACGTTACAGCATCAAAACTACAGTACCAGAGTGCTGGTATAAGTTCAGATCACAACTGGGTCATGTGCGCTGGTAGCAACGTACTATGGATACCGTCCGAGTATCGGCCATCAAGCTCAGCTGTGAGTGCGACTCTAGTAGGCATGGGAGTAGGATCAGGAAGGGTCTGGCTTTGTCAGGTGACTTAGGCAAGTAACGGTAGATAAATATAGAGCTACTTTAAACCCCTATGCGTCTATGCTTATTCAAAATGTTAAGACTAACTAACTATGTAATATTCGTTATACATAGTTACAACAGAAACCTCGTGAAGTCTATGCTCAATCGACTTTTAAGAATAGGCAACAAGCAATCATGCGCCCAAGCGGTGGCTGGACGAAGCCTCTCAAGCTTTGCGCCACAGCTTGAGCTATCTTGGTATAGCGCAGGTGTACATTGTAGGCCGCTAATCGTTTAAAACCTGCTATGTCAGCACGCGAAGTTCTCTCCCGAAAAGCGAACGAGAGTCGCAGCAGGCCGGAACAACTCGGAGCACACTTAGACAAAAGCTGCACGCGATGCAAGATTGAGAGTATACTCTCTAGTTAGTCTAGTATCAGAAGGAAGTTCCGAATAACTAATTGATTATGTTGTCTGCGATAGAGCAGGGTTGTCTAAGTAATGTAATTTTAACATTAAAGACGAAACACCAAAGAATGCAACATAAAAGCCAGTAATTTTGCCTTTTAAAGCCTACAATAGATAAATATAGCGGTAAAAGTTATATAGAGACTATTTTGACTCTATAAAACTGTGCGGCTTGGATACAATAGACTCGAGCAATGTTGGTGGTTCGGTGTGGAGGGATGTTCGACCCACAGGGACGGACGTTAGACAATTATTAACTATACACACACACACAATTTATTTACGCCCGGCGGCCGAGCCGAAAGGGCTACTAACGCTAGTCTAGCTTTACACTTCCTATGCTACGTCTTGGTCTCTTTAGCCCATATGTCTTCTTTGGCCCACTTCTTTATATAGCTTATTATCTAAATCAGAGCCCTTACTTAATACCTTGGCACGCCTCTTCTCTATCTACGATCGCTCCTCATCAAGTGCTCGTGGGTTAGTATTGCTGATGGCAGACTGGCTCAGAGTCGGCATCTCTACGAGATTCTCTAAGTGTTCAACATCCTATCTTCGGCGGCTGAAGCGCTGTCTGCTGCTGGTTGCACGAGGCTGCTGATAAGTTTATGTTAGTATCTATAGTTTACCTAGTAGTTAGTTAGATATTAGTTTGCATCAAGTCTTCGTGTTGCTATTGCGAATCGTATCGTCGCTCGCACTGCGTCCATGTCCGGCGCCCATTTCGCGTCGTCCGTCGCTGCTTTGCCGCCTAGGTAGAATGACATGTTTCCTCTGCTTATCTGCGTGCACTGCAGCATTTCTATCCGCTGTGTCGTCCACTTTCGGCAGCGGAANAGAAAATGCTCCACCGTCTCTGCTGCCTGGCCGCATTCGCATTGGTCTGTTGTTGATGCTTTGATTCGGTATCGATACGTGTTCAGCTGTGCCATGCCTGTTCTAAGCTGGGCAAGTACGCTGCTCTCTTTCCGCGAAAGCCCGTCGTAGAGTTGTCGCGTGTGCTTTCCTGGCAGTGCCGTGTCGATTCGTTTAGAATATGCTCCTACGTCTACTGGTACCTTCTTAGCTATGCCTTGCTTACGTGCTATGTTGTGCGTAGTTGATCGCATTCTAGGGAGCTGTGTCTGTGGTTTAGTGTTTGGCCTAGTTGCTGTCTTCGCCTCTCGCTTGGCGAGGCTTGCGAGCTCATTCTCTTTGCTTGCAGGTAGCCATAGCACTGTTACTGTGTTTCCATCTCTTCTTAGTGTTTGTGCAGTCTTGTAGAACTGGCTGATGTAGCTTTGCCCGGATTGCTGCCGCGGTCTTCTGAGTGTGAGCACAGCAGCTTTGTTTCTTGTTATGAGCGCGATGCTGCGATACCTCAGCTTCGGCAGTCTGCTCAGTGCCTTGGCCATTGCTGCCAGCTCTGCCGCATACGGATTCTGTTCCTCTCTCTTGCCCAATGTGACAGAGAAAGATTGTTTTTCGTTCTTCTGTATGCTGGTCGCGCCTCCCATTCCGACCACGCCATTCCGCGCCGAGCTGCTTACCGCGATGCGTACCGCCCAGTTCGCCTCGAGGCTCTGTGCCGCGTTCTCCACTACGGTCTGCACTCTCTTCTCCCATGGTGCTAACACACCTGGCCGGACCGTCTCTATCTGCTCCATCTCTATGTCCTTGAGCGCTTCTGCCACCTGGAACAGCGGCGAACGGTACTGCCTTCTGAACTTCCGCATCCGCGATGTGTTTCTTCGCAGTGGGTTCGTCTCAGGCAGCGCGTGGATGTCGGTCCACAGCTTGACTGCCCGCTTCCAGAACCGCTCTTGTGCACTTGGGATATGCGCCTCGGCTTCTGCCACCCATGTCGCTACCGTGCTGAACGTCCCTACGATCGCTCGTGCACCTATTCTTTGCACCCTGTTAATAGGTCTCATAAGCTTGTCTTTATAGGCGTGCATCCACACGTTCGACGCGTAGTCTACGGTCGGCGCAACTGTCGCTGTGAACAGCTGTCGCGCCACTGTAGGCGAGAGTCCTCGCAGCCTCCTGAGTTCCAATGCTGCTTCCAGTCCCTTCGCGGCTGCTCTTGCAATGTGCTTGTGGTACTTGAGCCTGGCGTCCATGAGCACGCCAAGTATCTTGACGTGGTCCTTGGGCGAGACGCTCTGCCCCTTGATAATGAAGGGCTCGGTGGCACTCTTGTACGCCCTACGAGTAAAGTGGATAACGGCTGTCTTTTCTGCTTCAAACGTCGCTCCGCTTCTCCGTTCCCAGTCCAGTGCGTCTCTGATAATGGCGTTGATACCCTCCCTGTTGCTTTGTGCTGTTGGGCCTGTGACCCACGCAGTGAAGTCATCGACGAACGCAATCGCACCTCCGTACGTATCGATAGGTCGTTGCACTAGGTCGGCGTTGAAGAAGAGAAACAGAATTGGCGATAACGGAGACCCTTGCGGCAGACCTGCTTGTGGCAGTTCTTGGACCTTAGAGGCCTGCCCGTTGACCTGGATTGACGCTGTGCGCTCTGAACAGAATGCCTCTACCCACTTCAGCAGCTTTTGTGGTATCCCCCGTGCTTTCATCCTCTGCAGTAGTCTTTCCTTGCATACTCCGTTGTACGCTCCCTTAACATCGAAGCTGATTAGGCTGACTGTCCGCCGGCCCCGCCACGCAGTGTAGATCTGTTCCTGGAGCAGTACTAATGCTTGCTCGGCTGATCGTTGCTTGCGCGCTCCAAAGTGGTTGGTAGGCAGAAGCCCGTGTGTCTCTACCATGTGCGAGATCCTCTCTGCCACCACCGACTCTAGCACTTTGCCTAGGGTAGCCAGTAGTGAGATCGGCCTCCATGCCTTTGCGACGGTGTAGTCTTCCTTGCTTGGCTTCTTGAGCGGTATGATCTTGGCGTGTCTCCATTGGCTAGGTAACACTCCCTCCTCTAGCGACTGTCGGAATAGCGCAAGCACATGGTCTTTCACTACCGGCCAGACCTGCTTCCATACGATGACTGGCAGTCCGTCGTCTCCAGGTGCTTTCCATGACTTGGCGGCATGCAGCTATTAACTATACACACACAATTTATTTACGCCCGGCGGCCAAGCCGAAAGGGCTACGAACGCTAGTCTAGCTTTACACTTCCTATGCTCAGTCTTGGTCTCCCTAGCCCATATGTCTTCTTTAGCCCACATCTTTATATAGCTTATCGTCTAAATCTAAGCCCTTACTTAATACCTTGGCACGCCTCTTCTCTATCTACGATCGCTCCTCATCAAGTGCTCGTGGGTTAGTATTGCTGATGGCAGACTGG